GAGCGTTTATATGAAATTTGACTTCTACCAACCCTCGTTGGGCCAGGCCAGGTAAAATTTTCAACAAAATGGCAGACGACAGGAAAGAATAGCAGTAACCTTCGTGTTTATACTCTTTAGTCTGACTGCAGTGTTGTCGGTGGCTCTTGATACTTTCATGGAGCTACTTTTGGAAATGAAAATCAATGAAGAAATGTTGATAGCCCAAGCTGCCTTGAGACGGAACTAGTTTTTCTGTCGAGCCAGACAAAATGGAGTATACAAAGAAAGGCACGCACTTATCGGAAAAAAACAGGCAGAGCTCAACTGTGGTTTTTTTCGAGAGACCATATAGATGGGGCATTAGGCCGCATGAAACGTTTTAGGTTTTTTTGACTTAATGTGAGAGTTTGAACAAGTTTTTAGTGTTATTTCTCAGATGATTAAAATCATTTTGATTCAAATGTCTTTTTTGCTTTGGGAACCAAAAGATTGCTGAAACGAAGGATTCTTTTATAATCGCGATGACTTTTTAATTCCAGCCTCTGTGTTTGGGAAGGGTCAATCGCACTCTATGGCAATAGTTACAGTGAGTGAAGCACTTTCAGCGTAGCCTCAGACCGTAATTTACTTTCAGGCGTTCAAAACTTTCTGCAAAGAATAAAATTTGATGTTGACAAGCGAATATCAATTGTGTTGATCCGTCATTCAAAGTTTGAAATAACTTTCACTGCCTCAAAAACATTCCGCTATTCAATTGACTTTTTTCACGCTTGGTTTCGTAATTTGTTTCGGAGATTCATCACTGTGTTGAAGAATCAAACTAAATTAGAGTAACCCTGGATGGTTTGTTATGCAATCCGAAAAAACCCTTGAGATTTCGTTAAAATTGGTTAGGCACATCCATCAACAAAACGAGACGTCTAAACATAAAAAAGAGATAAGCAAATGGTTTACTAAGGTCTATCTGGGCCCAGTTCTCAGTTGTGGGTATTTTGGTACAGTGGAGAGGATAACGGGCGATACGAAACACACAGGGAGTAACCTTAAGACCTGTCAAAAAACAATATACTTGCCTCTAAAAGTTTCCCATTAAAAAATATGCTAGTTTCTGCATGAGGACCTTTCGTTCCGATGAATTTCCGTAACATACTTAAGGAAGGAATTTAAATTTTGGCAAGGCCGGCATGATGGTTGATAAGCTAAAAGTATCGAAAGATTTTGATGGGAAGGGAAAAGCAGTTAACCCCGTCATTGAACTTTGATGTGTCATCTGCGTACGAAGAAATCATTTGCGAAACTTGAACTATAACAACAAATTAATTAATTTGAAATACCATTAAATCTTCTTTGTTACCAAAACAGTGAACATTATAATGAGTTTCTTATTATTGTACGCTTTTGATCTCAAGAAGTGAACGCGTTCGTGTTCAAATATTTCCAACCTCCAATGTTAACACTCGTATGCAACAACAGCCTGTCTCTAATTTGTTTTCATCTGTGGCTGAATCTAAAGAGTTCAAACGCTCCTGACTGAACAATTGAGAATCATCGAGAAAATAACTATATCTTTTATGCAGAACCTTAGACTTCAACAAACTGGAGACACTTCCTTCTTATATATTCAAACGTTACAAGTTATATGATCTGTAAGTATTTTACTCTAAAGCTTAATAACGTTGACTTCACTGACTTAGATTATTCTTCCTATATCGCCCTTTTATTCATAGTCTCACCCCCTTTAACTCAAACCCTTTATGAACTTTCTTTTGTGAACATGTAAATGTATTATAACTACCCAATAAACTTGTCAAACAGTAAATCCTCTTGAACAAATTCCGTTAGTCAATCGCCAGACTAACTAAACCTGCGAGGCGGATTCTTAGGCTTTGTCATTAGAAACACGAGAGTAGATGTACTTGGCCCGCTGGACTCAACAACAAAAAGAGCTGTTCAAGTAGTCAATGTGTCCATGCACATTTGTACGGTAGTTTTTCCTTACAGGAGTGGCATGTTTACAGTCCAAGCATCAGGCAGATAGTTGAGCATCTTGCAGGTTCTAGTCAGCAGAGAGAATGAAAGTATTTTCAAATGCTAATGAATATTCAAGTTTAATGCGTTTTACAGGTGGCTTGGAAACAACAACTTAAAAAACTTATCTGAAGATCTATTTACTGGGCAAGATGAGTTAAAATATTTGTGAGTACTGGTTATTTGGCATCCTTTTAAAAAAAAATTTTGTCAAGTTATTTGCTCTTCTTTGCCTCTGGCGGAATAGTCTGTTGGCGGCGTAAAAATGATTTCATTTATTCACATATAAACACGACCAGCACTAAAGAAACGAGAAACATTTCAGCGTGGAAACCTCAAATGAGTTACACAGTTCGATAATTTGAAAGGCACTATACCACTGTAACCTGCAGACTCAATTATCAAAGGTTCTGATCAAGAGGAAAAATATAGGTGTCCAACACAATGCTTCTCTCTGTTAATTATCACTGCTTGTTTAGAGGGAGTAGTG